ACAGGTAAAACAAGTTTTCAGTCAGAACCAATTTCTTCGTGAACATTTAAAAAATGCATAAAAATCCGCAGTCTATACTAATTATACTCGTGTTAACTGCAACAAAAGCCTGTACGTTCCACGAGCAACCTCGGGGCATAGTTGAACGTGCACGCATGTCCTTCACGGCGAAAGAGTTAAGCAATTGGCTTGAATGTCTCTCTTGTTCCCTTCGTCGTGTGTTCCGACGCGTGATCATTGTTCGCTCGGTTCCCAGTTGCACGGTGGAAACGTTACTCTCCCCGTGAGCGTCTATTGGTAACAATACGGCAAATACGTTTCGTCTGGATACGTTAGCGATTGCACGGTATTCTCAACCGGGAATATAAAGGCAATCGTCCTTTCCGAGCACGATTTTCGACGACGGCTTTTCACAGCCGTTTGTCTCGTCGACGAGATTAAAAGCAATCCGCGATTTTGCTTTCAGGCGAGCGTCGTGGACGAGAACGCTTTGAGGGAGCACATTGCCAGGCGGGAGCAGAGTCACGACCAGACTCAGTGGATCGCGTTTTATAAGGTAACCGAAGCCTCCGTTTTGCTCAACTCTTCGCACTTTCCAGGGTTTCTCGTTTCATTTCGTGCCTATTTCACGCGACTCGCTCGCTTCTGCACGAAAGTATACTCGTGCTCTTACTTGTGAAAGCTCTGTTAGTTACCAAAACGGAGTCATCTCGAGGGCGTTTTTCTCAACTAAAAGTGGCGCTTCTTGGATTTGAACTGAATCTCACGCCGAATTCGTGTCTTCCGTTGCAACAGTCTGTAACGTTGGAGTATCTTGGACTTTTTAAATAAATTTTTAAATAAATAGAAAACGTCTAGTGAATTTTTTCGAATACTTTGGGCAGATACAGGGAAGTTGTTAAATTGGTTGAGACTAGGGGACTGCAATTGTTACGATTGTTGGAATGGCCGTTTCGGAAAAGCTGGGGGAGATAAGATCGATAGTTTACGACTTACGATATTTCTTTATCTGTAAGAACTCTTGTACCAAAATGAAAAAAAATATCTCTTTCTCTCTTTCTCCCTTACTGCATCCTCTAAGCTAACTCCGTTACAGATAACCTTCCTAATGACCTTTCTCCCAGTAAACTTCATAGCAAAGCAAGCTTAAACGAGTCCTTTCTTTCGTTTTTTTGCACTTCTTCTTTGTCCTTCATCCCTGTACAGTCGCAGCTCCGTAATATTGCCGCAAGCGGATCTTGGAATCGCAAGCTTCTTCCACAATTATCCGCGAATTCACGAGTGTAATTTCAGAAGATCTCGCGAGATCGTCCGACTCTTTTATTTTCTCCGCGACACTCCGACGAAGAAATCCTCTGACGCTCGTGCCACTTCAAACTTTACGTTTCAACTTCCTTCGCCATCGAGCTTCCTCCGTCGTGAAGCACTCCAACGAGCGAGGAATTCACCGAGTGACAGCCACTCGATGGAGACTCGGCAGTCTCCCGACAAATTGCTTGCGAAAACGATCGCGCCTCGGCGATGTTCACGGGATGGGAGGACGCTGAAAAAAAAAGATAGAGAGAGAGAGAGAGAGAGAGAACCGGCTCCGGCGAGATAGAGGAATCTCGCCCGGTCCGGTTGACCGAATGTCACAACAGTGATTCGGCAGGTTCGGTGAAAAATGTATGTACGGGCGATCGTGAGCGGAATAATTGTGCCGGGCCCTCTCTCGGCTCGCTGCGCAATTATCGTCGGGGAATTTATCCCGCGACTGGTGGCACTGACCGATGTTACCAATTTATCCGTGGCTCTCAACCGATGGCCGCGCGCTTAATGGCGTTTTAATGGATCCCGTTAAGGCCGGGCAGAGAAAAAAGGAGGCGCGTCTTCGTCGCGGCCGGTATCGTGGTCGCAATTCGTCACGGATCTCGCAATTTTTGGTTTTTTTTTTTCTTCTTCTTCCTCTTTCTTTTTTTCCTTTTTTTTCCATCCCGCGATGTGCGTCCGACCTGGTACGAGTGTTTTGACATGAATTAAGCATTCGTTCGTGTAATTGGGTGGCACGCATTGAGTATCCATCCTTGAGGCTGTGACACCGAGCCTTCGTTCGGTGACTGTTTTCGGAGGGATTTTCGGGAGACCGGAAGATTGTGGGTTGAATGTCTGGAGATTTATACGATTTTCACCTTGTAGCGTGCAATTTCGAGCCGATTCTTGCCTTTTGAGCAAACTTTGTTGGTCAATTGAATGTCAATTCAGTGATTGAGGGTATTAACCAGATTTGAGAATTCGACCATTCGTTGATATCGTTGGGTTATCACGCAGATGATCACGGTGAGTTGGAGAATTGTTGCTTATCTCATAAATACCACTGAGGATATTCATTTGGAATTCTAGTGATAGAACTTTTCCTTTGAAAAGGAAAATTTCTTTATTCTTTATTCTCTGTAAGTTCCAATTCACCAAGATGGTGAGATGTTTGGTCCGAAAAGTCCGGAAAAAATTATTCTCACGTTATTTTTAAGCTCAAAGTTCGAATATGTATATGTACTTAATATTGCGAAGTCAAAAATGAATTTTAACGTTTAAAAAAATCAAAATGACCTTGAATTTTTATGGGAAAGAAATTCCTTGAAAAATAGCTACAGCTCTCGACTTGCACCGAAAAGCTGGAGAAACTGATTTCTATGTATAAATTATATTGAAATGATTTAAATTCTTATCGTAAAAAAAGTACTGAATTATTGGCTTATATAAAATATTTGAAATTGACTTTTTTCCAGCGTTTCAGGCCAAACGTTCACTGTGCGTCGCGAGTTAACGACTCGGTGGCAATTATTCCGGCCACTGTGCGAGCGTAAATAGCAAAATGGCGAATTCTATCAGTCGGTAAAGTGGATAAAGCGACTCGGCGATCGAAGGGGAACTCGACAACAGTTATTCGCGACTTTGCAGGCGATAATCGATCGGGAAACGTTACAAGGAGAAAATTTCGCCGATGGAAAATGTTCATAAATAACAGCCGGCGTGTGATCATCGTCGAGATAGTCAGTAACATAGCTGTGAAATTCTTTGGCGGAAAGTAAGGACTCGTCTTCTACGTTCCTGCTTGGCTGCCTCTTCCACGAAGTATTTTAGGAACGAGCGTTCGTCTTGCGTGGTCGAATAACTGGTGGTGTTCGTGCATAGCATTCACATACGTTCGAAAATCATTTCTCGAAAAATTATTTTCGTTCTAGTCGTTCATTTCTAGGAGCGTTAGTTACTCTTCGGAATAATTACTAATCTAAAAGTCGTGAAAGAGCATGCTCTTGTCAAAGAAAAAAAATATTTGCAACTTTATTATAGTGATGGTAACAAATCTTGGAACTCATGTGGCAACTTCTCCAGAGGTTTTATTGTTTTTACATAATGAACTGTATAAAATCTGCCTGTTTCTCTTGCTGCAAAATGTAAACCATGTTATGTGGCAATGTAAACTTTATGATACAAAGGTTAAAGTTAATTGCAAAACTTGCAAAAGATACAATTGCAACTTCCTTTAAATATAAAAATGCTAAACTGAATTATATTTATAGCCTGTATGTTTGTTAAGTTGCAAATCCAGAGGCACGCGACAGGATAAATTAGAGGACCATCACGATGAAGATTATGGCGAAATTTAAGTTCCTTTACATTTACACAATTTTACACGTTGACTCCTAAATAAAAAAAAAATTCATTGATTCGTTGAATAAATTTTCAGATTTGATTCTGTGCCAGTTCAAAGTAATTAAGACGTTCATAAAGTTTTCTTGATTGTAGAAACTGCATTTATTTTGATAGATATACAGTATGATGGTTTCTCAGTATATGAAATAGTAATAGAATTTAAGTAGCAGTATTGCAAAGTTGATGGTCAGAGAAATAATTTACAATTTTCGACTATGAAAGGATGTATGTGACAATTGTATAACATCCTTCTTTGTATAGAATCCTTCTTTTTATTTCCTTGGGTTAAACGTTTGATGGCATGTGAGTTATCGCGATTGTTGAACCATACTTACGTGGCGAATTGTGTAGCCTACGGCGATAACTGATTTTTCGATCGATCAATCCATCTGGTCGGATGATTTCGCGAAATTGAGACATCAATGAGTGATCGATGTTGAGAAATCTAAATCGAAATTCGTTCGATGTTCTGGCTTGTAATTACAAACACATACCTTTGAAAAACTGATACATGTTGGTTTCCAAATAAAAATCGATAATTGATAGTTGTATTCGATATATAGCTTATTTAAGCCTGATGTGAGCCAGTGATGATGAAAATTTGCAGAGGATTAGAGAAAGTAATAAAGATTGCATTGTCAAGTATATGTAAGTATTTTCCATAATTTTGAGTATCGTTTCGTAATCTCGTTTTATGTATATGTACTTCTTAATCATAGTCTACCACGTGACCTTTCAGCAGAAGAATGTTCAGTGTCTCCGGACGCTAGTCACCATAAAGGCACGCATTGCATTCGCACGCGAATGACTTCAAGAGTCGGGAATTCGTGATCGATGAAGAAAGAACCGGATGCTATCTGTTTGTCTTCTTCGTTCTAATTTCCCAAATATTTCATTCAACGCTCAGAACTATCGAGATGATCGAGATGACCAATTTATAATTTCCGTTGGGAATTTTACAAATGTAAAACGGTGTATTTCATGCAGATTTAAATTCATGATTTCTCGTAAAACAGTGTACTTTTGCAGATTTAAATGATTTCTCGTGAAATACACGAATAAAATGAAAGCTTGTACATTTCATTGTATATCTTTTTTAAAATGTTCGAATTGTAATGTTTATCGAACGTTACATCTTCAAATAAATGTTTTAATTTAACCAAACTCTAATCGCAACTTTAACGTTTCTAATGGTCAGTAGTTCTAGTGTTAAATAGTATCACTTCTAGAAGAGATTACACTTAATTTACATTCCTCAATTCTACTAAACAGTCTGGCAATTCTAATTTACATTCCTCTTCTGTCAGTGTTGCCTCATTTGACGAGTCCGGTGTTATCCTACAGGACTACGACGGGCTGATGGCGGAATGGCAAGCGGCAGGACGTAGGCTGGCTCTGGAAATGTCGGAGCTGAAGGAATGCAGCAGCGTGTCCGGCACGTTGACGCCTCTCGGCCGACTGCTGACGGATCCAACACTGAGAAGAACGTCGCGAGACGCGGAGGTGGCGATCGGCTCGCTGGAGGAACGCGCGGCACCGCTTCTGCACCTCGAGCACGTCAGGTTAGAGAGCAGCTCTGGAGCCTTTCTAAGTTAAACGCGGTTAGAAAGCGCGCGAACCTCGCCGCGGGCCAGACACTCGCGAGGAGGACACTCCGCTCGATGCGTCGTTGCTCGAGCTTATTATTGTTGCCCGCGTCTCTCTTTCTTTATGCCCGCTCGTTCCGCTCTTAATTGTCCGGTGGATCTCTCCTTCTCCGCTTCGCTCCGTCCATGAAACAGCTATCGTGTCTATTAATTTCTCGCGGAACTCTCTTCTCGCGGTCTCTTTGAACCAACGTACGTACGTGCATGATGACTCTCGTCGCCGTTGTTTTCCTTTTTCGAGACTCGTGCACAGTCAACTGCACGAATCCTCGAGTAGAGTTGGGAAGAAGGTCGTCCGGCTCGCGAAAGCGAATACATTTCCACGTGCACTTCGTTTTATAACGAAGACGATAATGTCCGTGCCGTGTTAGCGCCCACTCGCGCAGCGCGCCGAAGAGACGAGCGGCGGCAGCAGTGGCGCGTTAACGTTCGACGTTTCGTTAGCGATAAGCCAGCGGTGCGTCGGCCGATCACACGACGATCCTCCCCTTTTATCTTTCCAGATTGTCGGTGAAACGGGCACGCAGGTTAGTGGAGGAAGTTAGCAACGCAGCCACCAGACTCGAGTCGTCGTTCGAGTCCAGACGCGCCACCATTCGGAACCTCGCGGTCCTCAGGAGTATCGAAGATCAGGCGCACGAGGTGAGTCGATGATCTTTCTCATCACACTTCGAGCAAGACTGTTCTTTCGATTATTTTCATTATTATCGATGGAGTTGCATTTTTTTTTATGCTTGTCTCCACGAATTTTGACGAGTTCAAGCGTATGGAGATATTAAGTGACATTTAACCATTTGCCCAACTTCGATTGTCCGTCGTTCCTCTTTTTATAATTTGCTGTTAATTATAACGAACGTATGCGTTTGGTATGCAGTCGCTTGATGCAATGTATAATAACATAATGTCCGAACAGACGCCTACAGTGAAAGCTATAATGACGTAAGAAGAACAAAAGTATTTCAGGTGAAAAGATTTTTAAAAATGGTCCCGAGTCGATTGACACTCATTGGAATAATTCGCATAATAATTCTTATTGCTTCATACGAAAGTTTAAAACAAAAGTTAAAACAACTCTTGTATACCCGCAATTTGATGATTGCTTTAAATTTCAACGATGATCACATGTTGCAAAGATATAATCAAACAAAATTCCGTGTAAAATACTATTTGAATGATTAGTTCCAATGCTATTTTGGAATGCTCATTTTTATTTGAAGGGATTGTTGGATACGAATAAAATTTGTCGAGGGCAAAGAGTTAATTGAAACCTCTTTCGTGGTGAATAAATAGAAGAAAGGATGAAATCTTTTATAATAAGAAGAGCTTGCTGTGAAAATCTCTTCCCTTTTTTTTTTTTGTTCGAGCGATTGGAAAAAATAAAACGAAACGTCCAAATAGACGAAAGAATTCTTTCCACCTTTACTTTCATCCCGAAAGTCGCACGGTTGTTCAGTTTCGTTCAGCGTATCCTCGTCGAGCGATCATCTCCAAACCGATCAGGACGTTTGCACGCTTGCTTTCTTCACTCGCAGGTCCCTTTTCTCTGAAGCTTCATCGATCTAACCTAGTTGCCGACATTCTCGGAAAAGCCGACTCCTCGAAAGAGATTCGACCTCGTTTGCCCGAAGTTTATCGAGCACGTTGTCGTGTCCCAGTCGCCTGGTTGTTCCGCGGTTAACGATCATCTCTGCGTAGATCAGCCGCGTGCCCGTTCGACACGCGGCGTTATCGCAGTCGTCCACGTAACCGAGCATAATCGATAATGGAACGTGGCTGGATCGTTGAACTGGCCGACGTTGTGGGAATCGTTCGATTATGGCGATAGATCGCGGAAGGAGGAGGATCGAGTTTCGTAATTCCGCATCGGCTTTTAGACGAGAGATGGATCGCAAGGTTACGACTTTGGGCTCTCGAACGGCTCCCTCGGGGAAAACGGGGCTCGAGTGCACCCCGCAGTCGTGTGAACGCGCGACGATTCGTGAATCGGAACAATTCGATTCGAGATACATGCGAAAGAGGAAACGTACGGATGGAATACAAATTATTTCTTCGTTCTACTTGGATTTTACGAATTTTAATATTTTTTTTTTAATTTTTAAAATTTTTCATTATTTAATTTTTCAAATTTTTCGTTATTATCATTTTCGAAGTCGTATCAACCGCTTGTGTGGGTTATTAGCGACTTGGAACTAAATCTTACTGTTGTGTATATAATGTTACAACTTACTCGTGGTTGTACTGACCGTAC